GCAAAAGGGCCTGCCCCACCTGCAGAGGGGGCTGCAAAAGGGCTTGCCCCACCTGCAGAGCAGGCTGAAGCCCAGCCAAAAACTTCACCCTGAGGCACCTTCCTCCAAGACACAGAAAGGTGGGTAGGAGCGCAGCCGGCTGGCTTCTCTGCCTCTCCCTGGCCTTGCCTTCTTCCCGCCCAAGCAGGCTGTGAAACAGACAAGAGGGCGGCGCTGGGGGGCCACACTTATAGTCCATAAGGGCCTTGAGTGCTCCAAGAATCAGCGTCCCTGGTGAGTGTTTCATCTCTGATACGACTTTCATTATCTTATGTTGGTTTTGAAATTCCATTTACAGTTGACAGCATGTGCTTGCCCCCCAGCGCAGTTAGGTAGGAAGCTGACAACAGGAAGTTGTAGTCACCAGTATGAACCAGTAATTTTTTTTAAAAAAAGCCTCTGTCATAGCTTCTGTTCTCAGTCATCTCAATGTGTTGAAAGAAAACAACAGGCCCTCACACAAGCATTTACAGGTTAGAAACTGATCTTTGGACCTAAAGGTTGGAAATGTCACTGAGTCTGGTCTCCGGCAAGTGAGAGGAACGCTAGCAGAGCATGTCTATCTCTTCAGCTTGATTCTAAGACAGTACAACCTCAGATGAACACCTTAGGTTATGAGCCAGTCTTATCGTAGACTGATTTGAAAAGCCTGACTGAAAAACATTATGTGTCAAAACCCCGTGAAAAGGACAGGATATGAACAAGCTCTCAAAAAAAAAAAAAAAAAAAAAAAAAGCCACAAACTGAAACATCTCAGACATCCATTTCACACGGGAGGAAAAAACGATCTCTGAAACAAACTTTCGAAACACAGAAACTCTTTGGGAAATGGTAAACTCGTAGTAAATGACAGTAAAATACCTGATAGGGCGATAGGGCGAGGTGAAAAGTTGCAAAACCAGAGGAACTTAAAACTTGCTTTAAATGGTAAGGAAAGAAAACAGCCTCATGCCTGTTGAGAAAGACCCACCCGGAGAAGGAAGTGCCCGTACCTTGCTCTTCCAAGATCCCGTTGGGCATCTTCTTGTCGTTGCTGCTGACCACCGCCTTCCTCTGTTTCCTGAACCTGAGAGGCACAAGATGCGCTAAGTCTTGGCACACCCAGACTTCTGGGAAGCCCCAAGCCCTGAGTGCGGTGGTACCCACCAGGCGGGCCTGGAGAAGCTCTTTCGAGTGCTCATAGCTGAGTTGTGGCTGGGCCTGGCTGGCCGACCGCGCCTTAGCCTCCTGGCCCCCACCCCCAGCCTCCAGAAGGCTCATTTCCTCATCTGAGCTGGCTGGGGCAACGCAGCGCCTGGGGACACTCCTACCTGCAGAAGTAGGCGGCGACGAGAAGCAGGAGGAGGAGCAGTAGCACAGACAACAGCAGCCAGGTGAGCAGTGGCTTCGAGGTGTCAGTGTCCGGAGGGCCTGCGGTGGGGGTGGGCTGTCAGGACCCGGGCAGGGGCGAAGCCCTTCCTCCTGCACTGGAGCCCTGCTTCAGAGTCTGTGCGGTGCTGCTACCAGCGTGGTCCACAGTGCCAATAAAGACACCCTCATGGAACAAAAGAGTGACTTTTGTTGCTGTGGACACTGAGGACAATCCAGAACTGGGGATGGAGATGGAGTTTAACAGGCGAGAACTTGCCCGGCAAGGTGCCAGGCTCTGGGTTCCATCCCCAGTACAAAAGAGGGGGAAAGAGAAAGGAAAAAGAAAGAAACCAGGACTGAGATCCCTGGTGGCAGCACGCAGGAGTGAGGTATGGGTTCCCCACGTGGTCCCTGCTGTCTGCTGCCTGCTTCTTGGGGTCCTTCCTGCATCTGCATCTCCATGTAGGGAGGAGGGGGAGGAGGCGTAGGTGCAGATGCCCCTGCCCTGCTGCCCTGTCGAAGACCCACCAGCTCAGCTGGGTCAGGAGCTCCAGTATAGGAAAGCAGGCGCCGTCCTCACTGTCAACCTCTCAGTCTAACCTCTTCAATTAGAGAGATACACATCTCCGGACATAGTGCCACGGCCTCAGCTCGTGGCTGCCCAGGACCTGCCCCAGCTCCATGTGCCCAGCTTCTCACAGCCACTGGCAATTTTGCTGCCACCTATGAGTCTGCCTCCTTTTCCCAGCCTGCCCTGCTGCCCCCTCCTTATCATAAAGTTCCTGAGCCAAGGACCACCACGGCCCCTCCTCCAGGAAGCCCACTTGCTCCTTTCCCAGAGCTCCAGGGGGTGCCCAGGGGCTCTGGGGGGCACCGCAGCCTTGTCACCTCCCATATCTAGGCTGAAGGCTGTGGTACATGGCTTGCTGTTCAGGTCTGTACCAGTCCGGGTGTCTGGGAGAATCTGTTTGGGAGAGTCTCAATTCTGACCTAAACCCGCCACTTCCCACCAGCATTTTCTAGCAGGAGCAGCCTGGCCTATGGTCCCTGACCTGAGAGGCCACCAGGCAGAGCCTTGGTGCATAGCCCTGGCTGGTGTGGTGAGCCAGGTTCCCCCTGATTTGACTTGGTCCCTTCCCAGCCAAGTGGAGTCAGGTGGTCAGGAGGCACGGGAGGACTCCCCTCTCTTCTGGGAGCACCTACTCCCCCCCAGGAGGGGCACTGCTGTGGTGAGACTCTGTACTTCTACACTTCCCAGAGGTCAAGCTCTGGCTCAGCTTCTGTAAAAGTGGTGGTAAACTGGCCAGTTTGTGGAGTCCACTTGGTTGGAGAGAGGAGAGTACTAGAGCCTGTGTCCTTCTGTGGGGTGGTGGTTGCTTAGCTCAGAGCACTGGGAGAGGTGGCCCAGGCTGCCTGACCCCCCTAAGGTTCCTAAAGAAGAAACCCACATACTTAAGGGAGTTTTCTCATATTAAACATTAGTGATTAATTCCATTAAAATGCAATTTTGCAAAACAATGTGAGCAAGAGAAGAAAACCTTGGATGGGTAGCAAGGCATCCCATCCAAGAGAGAGCCAACTCTTGAATCCCATTCTGGTTTCCTTTCACGCTTAGAAGGGAGAAGGTTGGGCTGGGGGCAGCTCCAGTGATGAGCCCATTTGGAGCAATCTCTTCCCTAGAGGGGTGGCTGACGGCTAGCCCACTTGCACCTCTGGCCCCCATTTATGCCTGCATACACCCACACTGTGAAGGGGCATGCATGTGCCTGCTTACTCACATAGAACCTGGCCCTGGGAATGGAATGCCATTGGCTGGGCTGGAGGTGCGACCTTCGACCATTGGCTCCACATATCTACCCGCCAAACCCAAGAACCTCCTGCTGTGGGGAAGCCCTAAGGAAGGGAGGCACGGCCAGCCCTGGAGATAGGCGGGAGGCAGTCAGAGACTGCTCGTTTCTAGGGCCTCTTGGAGAGAGAGGAAGAGCTGGGGTAAAGGATAGGAGAAGAGGAAAGGACAGCAGACGACAGAGCACAAAGTGAGATGCTGTGCTGGGGACAGAGCAGAGGCAGCCTCTGGAGGACCCAGCTGTGGGTTGGAGCTTGGGATTGTCTTCCCAGGCAGACGAAGCTGGCCTTACTGTGTTTCCTCCCCCCATCTCAGCAGGTGCAAGCCAAATAGGAAAGAGAGCTCTTGAGAAATGTTCCAAGCAGCACAAAAATAAAGAGCAAATGTGCTGGAGGCAACCTTTCCTTGAGTGAAACTGTGTTAAAATCTTGGAGTGTATCTTTCCCCACATTTGTTTCTCTAGTTACATTCATAAATATGCAGCTTTGGAAGAGAAACGGCCATCCCACTCTCGTTTCATCTCCGACTACGAGGTTTGTAAGGAGTAGCACTATTCTATGAATGATTAAGGCAGGAAAACAAGATGCCAATTATAATTGTGAAGAGCTACCAGTTTAAAGACATCCCAAGATAGCAACGCTACATATGAACAAACAGATGAGGCACACTGTCTGGTAGTCCTCCACTTGTCCTTTGTTTCCTGTCCTCATCTTGCTGTCTGTGGACAGATTCCACATCAGTGTCAGTGAGCTTCTAAGCCCTGTGTGCCGGCTGCTTGGAGCGCCACGTTTTGGACAGCCCAAGACTACAGACAGGTGGGCTGATTCCACTTTTTTCCGACTGTCTACAATTCTGGAACTGTGGATCATTTTGGAGTATTTCACCAGTGCTTCCGCGGGAGAGCTAAAGGGATCCTCTGGGTCCAAAGCACACATATTACATTTTTTAATAGAAGTTCACAAGCTGTCCTCCAGAAAGCGTGTAACTTCTACACTCAGCCCTGGTGGACGATGGAGCCGTTTTCCCTGCAATTTAGCAATCCTTTTCACTTTTTCAAACCACGGCTATAAACATAATGCTACCTTAATTTGCATATCTCTCATTTCTAGAGGGCTTCTCATCTTGTATGATTAGTGAAGCATAATTAATCAGATACTTTATATGACTTTTATATACTTTTTATTTTATATACTTTTTATTTACCATGACTTTTGCCTGGTCATGTTCTCTCTTCCTTTTCTGTGTTCTTCTGCATATTAATTTTTAAAAATTCCTCCTATAATGCAGGTAATAGTATTTTCTCATATAATTAATACATTCAGAATGTATCTTTAATTCCCTATATAAAAATGTATCACAATCAGGGGCTGGCAAGATAGCTCAGCAGACTGAGCGCCTGCTTTGGTAAGCTCAGGGACCCGGGTTCCATCCCCGGTCTTGCATGCTGTGAGGGCCCCGCCCTCAGGGCGTGTTGAGCGGGCAACCAAGTCCAGTTGTGGTGGCCCACGCCTGTAATCCCAACCCACAGGAGGCCGAGAACAGGGGGATCACTATGAGTCCAAGCTGCATAAAGACCCTGTAACAACCACATACATTTAAAATAAATAAATAAAAGTGTATCATGATCAATGCTGAGTTCCTTTTGTTTTGGCTCATTGTGACGAAGTGGAAGTGTTGACATCTCAAATGATGCAGCACTCTTCTTTCAGGGGTGCAGTGAAGGCTCAAGGAGCGCGCCAGCCAGTTAGACTCCCCGCCTGCTCAGCGCGCTAGGCCCAGCAGCCCATCTGCCCCTTGTAGAGGAGGCCTGCGTCACTTTCGCCTGTGCAAGCAGCTGCTCTTTCTGAGTATGCTGAGACCCGGAAGAGGCTGAACAAGGAGTTTCACATTTGCTCTTGTTTTGGGCGCTGAGGTCACGCGACAGCCCTCTCTTCCTGAAGGTAATACCTCCCTGATGGTGGCGGCGGTATTCTGAGCCAATAAATTTTGTTTTCAGATAAAGTGAAAAGCTCCAGGCTTGGAAACATCGTCCTGCTGAGGACCACAGTGCAGGCTGTCGAGAGCTCAGAGTACTGTGGCAGCTCCTGCCACAGCTCAGGGAAACGGCTCCAGATGTGCACAGGTACAAGCTGGTGATCTGGCAGGTGTCCCTAAATGGCCAGCGACAAGGGAAGTCGGGAACGCAGGTCGGGTTTCTTCACTGACTGTTCCTGCAGGTCTGAGGCATCAGCCTTAGGGATCTGGGGTCTGGATGCCCCCGGCCGCAGGCCGTGGCCGCTGCACCTGGAGAGCTGGCTTGCAGAGGAGGCAGCGTGAGGCACACGGCTGATGCGAGCGAGCAGGAAGCTCCTGGTCGTTTCTTTTTGTGATTCCTGGTTTCTCTGGGCTTTTTTTGTGCAGAAGGAGGCAGGAGGGCACTTGCAGCTTCTCTGTCAGTTGGGGGCTTGCAAAGTCAGCAGAGCACAACTCGTTCGCTCCCCTTCAGGATGGGGTGCCTTTGTAGGAACCCTG